GGGGATGAGTCTGCAACACATGGAAGAGCAGGACAGAGGAGAGGTGTTCCCTAATGGGCAGGAGGAATGAGTTGGAGCAGGCCATGGGGCCCAGAAGCTAAGAGAGGAGAGCTTGTTGGGAGGATGAGGGATGCGCTGCAGTAAAGGAGGCAGGCCAGGCACCACGAGGGAGGGAGCGGATGGAGAGAATCCAGGGACTTCACCCCAGAAGGGGCAAAGTGTGTGACGCAGTTCATGGATGACAAAGCATTGCGTGCGTAAGACAAGCAAGGAGTGGGGAGAGGTGGGAGATGGCACTAGACAGGGAGGATGTAGGAGATGCAGGCACCTTGGAAATGCTGGGACCACAGCGTCAGGAAGGGCATGGGAGATGATGCAAGGTCAGGTGGATTGACTGTGAGACAGAAAACAACTGTTTCCAATATGGCGGAACCAAAAATGTAGGATGATTAGGGTGACTTAAGATAGCAGATGAATCCAATGCAGCATATTGTGGAAAAAAAGATGGCAATGTTCGCATTAGCAAGGGCAGGACAGGAAGGGAGCAGACATCAAGGAAATGACTGCAGAATGCAATAACTGACTTAGGGGTGGCAGTGGCAGGAGCAGATGCTGAAGATGAAGCTGAGAGTCTCTGGAAAATAGCAGTAGAGGGATATGCAGCCTATCTTAAATTAAAAAAAAAAAATTGTTGTCAAACAGTCCTCAAGCATGATGTTGGACTCAAGATGGCTCCAGGAAGTTGAACAGAAAAGGACAGAAGGTGCATGACAGGTGGAGAATCTCATGAATTTGAGGGTCTCAACATTGGTAAAGGGAGCTAGTGAAAAAAGGGGAGGCAGAATTCAGAGTCCCAAACTGGGGTGTCAGCAGATCTCAGGACGCAAGTTGGTGGCATGTCTGCTATCAAGACCAGACCACAGAGGCAGAGTGGAGCAACAGCTCCGGCAGCCTTTAGGAGAAAGTGGGTGAGGGCCACAGTTATTGGTTAAACAAAGGAAGTGGTCAGCACTGCACACTAACATGACACCTGCATAGAAACCACAGGCAGCTGACCTTAGGGATTTAGTGAACTTAAGCAGACTGATCCCAGGTTGTACATAGAAGTGTGTTTGCAAATACCAGAGGGGCAGTTAGGAACCAATGTGAAGGAGACAATTTGCAACAGTCATTGAATCCAAGTTTCTGCTGTTTAAGAGTGGCTGAAAGGATGGAGGCATAGCTTGTAATGCAAAATATATGCAGAGGTACATAGTGAGGCTGACGAGGAGGGCCTTTGAAAGTTCAGTGGGAGATGTTTAGGTTGGTAGCAAATGGGCACAGCGGGAGAGAGTATGCCCAGGGTTTGGAGAGGGTCAGGGTGCTGGGCGCTGGGATGAACGCTTCATGTTTGGAAGACTCAAGGTAGAGAGCAAGACAGGAGGAAAGGCAGAATGGGATGGAGGGACCTGTGTAAGAAGAATGTCTTAAACAATAAACACAGGTGTAGTGAAGGTAGTGTGGCCAAGAGGAAATGGTGGATCCAGATGGCCTCGATGGGTAGTGGACGGGCAGGCACGCTAGGCAGGGGTGTATTGGCTCACTGGGGCCCTATCCGAGGTAAATAGAAATAATGGAGGCAAGGAAAGGAGGAAGAGGAAGAAGTGGAGGGACTGGCTGTGGAGTTTCGTGGGAACTCATTTCAGGGAACTGAAAGAGAAAAGAGGAAACAAGGCTGGAGTGGAAGAGGGCAAGGAAAAGGCAGCCTCAAGAAGGCGCTGGCCTGAATCAGTGGAAGGTCTCGAGAAGCAACAGAAAACAGTGTTGAAGAGAAGGTGGGGTACGGAGAGGATGGAAAAGTTTGAGCAGTGAGCGCAGGTCAAAGCAGCGAGCACATCCCTAGAGAAGAGATGACCGAGTCCGATGAAGTGACAGGCCCTGGGTGGTTGAGAGAAATGTGGACCACAGACAGG